TATGTAATTAGACCAAAACTAGTAGGGAGACTGTATCAGTCATCAAAACATCCGGAAAAAGAAAGACCCTGGACCTGACAGCTTCCCTTATGAACTCCACCATGCATTTAAATAACTAACCCAAATCCTTCCCAAACTTTTCCCAAAAAAAGAGGAGAGAACACTTCCTGACTTCTAGAGCTCCTCATTCTTTGAGGCCAGTGTTGCTTGGATACTAAAACCAGACAACGACACGACAAGAAAACTACAGATCGATACAGTCTACACCATGGAGGAAAATATTTGCAAATCATATGTCTAATACGGGGCTAATATCCAGGTTATACAGAGAACTCCTAAAACTCAACAAAAAGTAGTTTAATTTAAAAACGTGCAAAGGACTTGAATAGACATGTATCCAAAGAAGAAATACAAATGGGCTGTATGCACATGAAAAAATGCTCAAAATTGCGAATCATTAGGGAGATGCAAATCAAAACCACAGTGAGTTACCACCTCACAGCCATTAGTATGGCTATTATAAAATAAGTGAAAAATAACAACAAGTAACATTTATGTGAAGAAACTGGATCCCTGCTGCACGGTGAGGGGGGTTGTAGAATGGTGCTCCCGCTATGGAGCCGGTGCGGTGGTTCCTCTGTTCCTTCTTTAGAAAAACTCAACACAAAACTACCATATGACCCGCAATCCCACTGCTGAGTACACACTCACTGAAATGGAAGCAGGGCTTCAGAGAGATGTTTGTACTCCCATGTCCAAAACAGCATTAGTCACAATAGCCAAGACAAGTGTCCACGGACAGATAGATAAGCAAAACGTGGCATATACCTAAAATGGAATACTTTTAATCTTAAAAGGGGAAGGATACTCTGACATATACCACAACATGTGAACCTTGAATAGGGAGTTATTATTTAACAGGCTCAGTGTCTCAGTTTTGCAAGATGGAAAGAATTCTGGAGAAGGACGGTAGTGATGACTGCACAAAATGTAAATCTGAACACCACTAAACCACGTATTTAAAAATGGTTAAGGTGGTAAATCTTCTGTAAGCAGGGCCCTAGAACACGCCTTCCACTTGCTGCCATACTTTCAAAACTATTTTCTGTATTTAAGATGAGGAAATGTAGCTGATTTGGGGACGCCAAAGACTTCCTACTATCCAAAACATATTCACAAACAATAGCTCATTTCATATCATAATTTTTATGTTAGGAGGGTAAACAGGGCGATCTTTCTTCTGCCCACTGTACAGTTTACCACATTGAGACTACAGCTTGGTTGCGAGACCCCACGGCGAGGAGAGGCAGCGAGACCAGACCCCCAGGTCTCCCTGACCACGGACACGGGGTGCAAAACTGGGGGACAGACCCATCCTTGCTTTGTTTCTGTAGAGCAAAAGTAGAAGAACACAGGGGTGATGTGCTCCCTCCCAGAGCGGTGTTTTTACTCATCGTAAATACTAAACAGCTCTATTTATGTAACAAATAGTAGCTGCCAATGAATGCGGCAGACACAAATTACACACATAAACTTTCAGAGCTGAAAAGCACCGTAGAAGTCATGCATTTCAAATCCCTTATCTCACAGCCGAGGAAACAACCCTAAAGATTAATGTTACACTGTTTGTTAATAACCGAGCCTGGTCTAGAAATTGGGGGTGCCCCCGAGACTTTGCTCCTATTCCCAGTTGCTCTGTTCATAGCATAAAGATTCTCCAAAAAATTAATGCGTTAAAAACATCTTTATCTGTTCCTGGAACCAAGGAGTATTCTATATTGCTGAGAATGTCCTCAGACTGAAGAGGTGACAAGAGCACGTATGTTTTTGCACGACGGAGGCGCAGACGTGGCTCTGATACGGGCACAGACACGGGTGTGAACTCCGGCCGATGTTGGTTCAACGACGGGTTGCCCATTGCTTTGAAAGCCGCGGCTGCTGGACCTCTTCAGAAAATTGCGGAGGGGTGTTAGTGGGACGTTTTTTTCTTCATCTTACTGAGGAATAGTTAAGAGTGGCCAGTAGATGCCACTGTTGTCAGTTATAAATAGATTTCTGTGTTTCAAATAAACGAGATGAGTCATGACAGAAAAAAATGGGGTAAGTAAAGCATAACAAAATTAATCAGGTTATCTTTTAAGAAATAAGTGACAGAAGTAATGCAAAACTGGGTCTTATTATTTATCTTTAAACAAAACATTTAATCACACTTGACAACTGAAAGACATGAACTAAATTATTAAGAAAAAAATAAACAAGGAAAACAATAAGTCTTCTTTGTTTGAAAATAATGGGTATGTTTAAAAATTAGACATTATAAGTACTAAACAACATTGACTGATGCCTATATTTAATAGCAAAGATAAATCCTACCCTGATGAGAGTGACATGACGGAAGAGCAAAATAAAAAATCAAGTCTGTCCCTTTTTTGTTATTATTGTGGCATTGCAAAGCAATTTTGTACTTATCAAAGCTGTATTCAATTGTGAATGCATGGTTACTGAAATATGTATTATCATTTTACTACCTTTTATATCCATCAACATTTGTAGGTGTTGTTAATTCTTTTAAAAATGATTTAAAACATGTAAACTAAAGCAGCTCTCCATAACTTACTGAGAAAAGATATGCACGGTGGCTACGGGTGACTTCTAGGCTGGCCTCTCCAGTTCCACGGCCTCACCAAGCTCCCCGGGGCACCTGTATCTCTGGACACGTTCTCGGGGTGCCTCTTCATCTTTCTGTTTTAAACATCAACCCCACCAGATATCTGTAAATCATAGTCCATATAGACTTTTTCATATATGTTCATGTGAAATTCAATTCCAAAGTACTTTTATTCATAATAAAATACAAAATCTATACTGTATAGTCAACATGCTGATAGTTGCTGTGAGGTACTCACAATACAATAAACATAGTTTCTGTCCTTAGGTGAAGAATACGGTAGAATGAAAAAGTCTTGTGTCTAGACAGCTTTGCACTGTTGTGCAGAGTTCCTGCCATTCCCCGAGATGATGGGTGGGATGGTGATGCGTCATAGGGGCGCTGCAAAGATCAGGTGAGATAGGAATGTTCAGTGTCTCTCGATATCTGGCACAGAACAGGGGCTGAGCAAGTGCTAGTTTTTACTCAAATGTCTTAGAGAGCAGGTAGGATGAGTGGCCAAGACCTTAATCACACACAGTGTAGAAAATAATCAGTGGCATGGGAAGGGAACAGAGTACCTGAGAAATCAAAGAGAAAATATCCCAGACAGAATGGCCCAGGAGTTATTTACGGAGGTCACATTGAGCTAATATTTGAGAGAAATTCAAGCATTTAAGGTGCAGAATACTGAGAGATAATTTTATTTAAGGTAGAGAAAGAGTGAGCTTTGCAAGGAGGAGAATAATTCGGGCTTGGCACTCACCCCCATCATCGTTCTGATCACCAGCGTACCCGAAATAAATTGTGTTTCATAGCTGTTTAGAAATTAAGTGATGAAATTTCTTCATTCATAACTTTATTATGGTTATGGAAGGCAATATCCTTTTTCTTAACAAATACATACTAAATTATAATGGGTTAAAAGGTCATAAGATAGTCAACCTACTCAAATAATTATTAAAAATAAATAATATGGGTATATGCATGCCTCTGTGTGTGTGTGTGTGTGTATGTACATATAAAGAGAAATGATATAGCAATTATGGTAAAATGTTAAAAATTAGTGATTCTGGCTAAAGCTTCCATATGGTAGCTATTTGTACTATTCCTGCAATTTCTTGTAAGTTTTAAATTATGTCAGCATTTTTAGATGAAGTTTAAAAATCTGAAGGTGAATTAAGGACATTCAGATAAACGTAAGTGGAATTCGCACCAGCAGGCTCACACTCTAAGAAACCACAGTATCTCCTCTCACTTTCAAATCGCAGAGAGATGGGTACGCTTTCTGGATGAAGAGAAGGAGCCCCGCAGAGAGAAAGGAGAGGGGACGACAATCTGTGGGGTCAGTCCTGGAGAATTCAGAGTGGGAGCAAATCGAGAGCAGAGGTTGGGGGAGTAGCAGGGAAATCTTTTCTCCTTGAAATGTAGGAAAAATAGATAAAATAAATGTAGAGAGCACTTCGTCTTCACTGATAAGCATGGAAAATCATGTGCTACATATTAATATTGCAATTACTTTAAGGTATGACGCAGAAGCATGCTTTGCGATAAGTGATTCTCAAATGCATTAAGGCACATTCACATAAAACTGCCTCACTCCCTTTTATGTTTGTTTCTTTTCTGTTTTTTTTTTTTCAGGAGTTGGGGGGTGGGGTGAGAGAAGGAGAAAACGGGGAGAGGAAGGGCAACGTGAATAGAAAATGAACAGTAACTCTCAGAAAAAGAAACCTAGTGGCAAAAAATAAATGAAAGCCTCCCCCCAATCGAGTCATCAGATAAACATAGACTCAAATAGTGAAAGGCCGTGCTGTACCCCAGCAGAAAAACAAAATCACGTGCTATTAAGGACGTGGATACACTAATATTTACACACTGCCAGCAGTCACGGACTTGCTCTCACTGGTCTGGAGAACACGCTGGCAATCCGGAGGGAAGCTGAGGATGGACGCGTGTAACACACAGTTCACACGGATCTGCTCCCCGCCCTCCCCCGTGGGGGCGGATTGTAGGGCTCCCGGGCCCATGTGACGGGCCATCCCACCCTGGAGTGTATTTCCCTATCCCAATGATCAGGATTTAGTCATGTGATCTGATTTGGCCAATTGCATATGAGCAGACTTGGGTACCCCTTGTACTAGCAGAAGCTTTTAAAAGCGTTCCAAGTTTTTGCCAACCTCTTGCTTATATTCTCTCTGCCATGCGATGGGTACACACCAGGAGGTGCTGTTTCTATCCCAACTGCAACAACGTGAGTAAGAACCGTCTTAGAATTTCTGAAGAGACCTTTCGAATTACAGACTTTTTGAGGGAAGAGTTCTTTTTTTACATGTAAGGACAAGGAAAACAAATCGCTAATGTATCACACAAATATGTTTATTATGTAATGTTTGTAAAGTATAAGATTCTAATTATGAAAGAAAACATTTCTAGCAACTGTTACACATTTTGGATTAATGTTTGTAACTGACCTAAGGCACATAGTGCAAAATACTTTGTTTCTGACACAGAGATCCCTAAATGCCCGTCTAAACACATTGGCACAAAATTGCCGTAGTCCACTGTATGGTAAAATACGCCCCTAATAAATGTTTGGGGGGGTAAAAACTCTGTGGGTTGAACTAGTACACTATTATTTACTGGCAAAAATCTATTAGTAGGGTAAGTTTTTTGGTTTACAGAGTAGGTTACCATAAAAATATACTGTTTTGTCTATGATTCTTTCAAAAATCGTATTATATAACACAAAATTAAATTATCCACCTAAAAAAAAAATCTCTTAATACCTGAGAATTTTCCCATGAATAGTTCATTTTTATGTTATCTTTTATGTTCTGGCTCTGAGAAACCTCAGATATAAAATAACGACCATCTCTAATGAAAATTTTGCATATGTAAACATAATTTTATGTTTACCAAAACAAGATCTTCAGAACGTCAGCACTTCTCACTTCTCTAATTGATTAATAAAATACAGTATATAACTTTGAGAAAATAGGTTTTTTAAGGATAGATATATATATATATATGAGTTACAAAGGCATAATAGAATATAAACATTATAAAAACAATGTATTGCTCTTATAAGTGCATTAAATTAGAGGTAGGTGTTTTAAGTCAAATTCTACTATATCATATCTTCTGTATTATACCCACAGAATTTCAAATTTAGCCCAAGCATATATTTCAATAAAAAATTGTACCACATTTTAGGATGACTTTTTTTTATTTGAAGCACCATAATCCATAATTAAAAATTCAAGGAAATATAAGACAAGGCATCTAAGCTGTATCAGTAGCAAGTATAGTGTCTATGTACTTTTTGATGTGATTATTGATTCACTATTTACCTGACAGACACATTAACGTTTATAGTGGTTTTAAGTAAGCTCATTTTGCTAAGTTTTACTTGCTTCATTTTAAGAAATAGAATAAACATTTCATGGTCCAATAGGGCACTGAGTAGAGATCTGCATGTGTTCACAGGTGTAGTGTAATTGTGGTCCAGTCCAAGCTGTTAACGGCAACATTATCTTAGTGTAATTCAATCAAAAGTCCCTACGTACCCTGTAAAGTCACACATCTGTTTAGTTTATTTCAAAGGCATTGATAAAAGTGAGTGGTGGTTTGACTTTGTGATGAGCACCATGGGAAAAAGTCACAGACATTTTGCACATGAAAATCTCTGGAAAGGGCCATGAAATGAGCACCAGGTATTTGAAGGTTGCAGAGAACATCTCCTCTTTGGGACACACTTCCCACCTCTGAATGTTCAAATGACTTGGATTGGAAGGCCAGTAGTCATGTGGGGAACGCACTTCCCACAGAACCCTCCACATCTGCCGTAGACTTTGGTTCCATCCTGAAAACAGGAAAAGGCAGAAATATGGGAGAATCTGATACACGCTGGTAGCTGTGCACAAGGCAGAAAAAGCAAATGCTTTGAATCATGTGGCTGAATCATTAGCCAAGGTTTCCTGTAACAATTACATTTGAGGTCAAAGATCACTCTACTTCAGGATTAGCTGAAATGGGTGGCACAGGACTTAGATAACCTGAGGTTCAATTACTACTTGAATGATTATAATCTACACTTTGATTTAGAAAATTCAGCTCAACACAAAAGGTATCTATTTGCTTCAGTGAGATTGTTAAAACCTCTCCCGAATTGCTCTCCAATATTTATATGATTTTATATAAGGTCTCAGAGATGAAATGAAAGATACACAAACTTGATCTTAACTGTACACAAGTCATATTCTACCCCATTAATCTCAAACATCTCATAGAAGCATTAGAATCAGAGCCTGAAGAAAAGCATAGAAGGTGATAAAATGGGGGAAGGGCGGGAGGGGGGGAAATGGACCAAAAGCAATAATTAGAAAAGGATGAACAAAGGAGATTCCTTTTGTTAGAAAAGCAGAGCCATTCACTGAGGAATGGCTGGGCAGGGGCAGTGGAAGGGCAGTCAGGACCGGACAGAAGCCCTCTCTAGATTGCTTTCCATCTTTAGGTTGCAAAGTCCAAAGACTGTGAAGACATTTTGATGGGATGAAGCAAAAATAGTTTGAACTCCTGTAGTTCCTGGAGAAGATAAGGAGTTTTTTTTTTTTGTGGTTGTTTGTTTTGGTTTGGTTTTTAATCTAAGGAGGGGAGCAGAGAGAGAGAAACTGGATTCCAGGAACATTGCAGGGTGAAGAATGTTTTGAAATCAGGGACTTTTGAAATTGTCTTCTCTTTCAAAAGCTTTTTTTAACTCTCAAGAATCTGAGTAAACAGAGAAAAAGGGAATGGCAGCAGAAATTTCAATTTATAGACATTCTTATTCCCAGATTAAGTGAAAAACCTAATCTTGCTTAAATTTACTGACAAATAAAAGCAATTGCATTTCCATAAGTATATTTGGCTTTTATAAGCTAGTTTTACACCAGGCATCAGATTCCAGGAAATATTTTCATGTGCAAAATTTGGGTTGAGGTAGAAATGCTCGGTTTTATTTTTTTAATCATTACACAATGAATTATTTTTTAGAATAAAACTTAAGTACAACCAAAAGGAATAACTGTGCTAAATATTCATATCTACTGGTGACTTAGCCAGAGTCCATGCTTTACATTTTACCAAGAGATGTATTTCACTGAGCTCTCTGCATATATACCTGCTCAGATATACTTTCAGTAATCACTGTATTCCCATTCTTCCACCAAAAGGGATCAGACCAAATATGCCAAATAGGTATTTAAAAACAGCTCTTTGTTTTAAAAATCTACTGCTTCCCTATATTACAGAAATAATAAAAATTTAAATTCTTTAATTATTAATTAAAATACAGTTTCACAGTCTTCAGAAATAAAATAATTTAAAGCTGATGGGTATCAAAATATTGAATTTCATTTACAAATAATATTCATATAAATAGTGTTACAGAGGTCACTTTCATTGCAAGAAAGAACAAAGACATGAGAAGAGGCAGGGCTGCTGCTGGCGCAGACTCACATGCAGTTAGGCGAGAGCACGTGCACGGGGCCCCAGTTCACTAGAGTCACACTGGGATGGGACTGCCAGTACCAGGGGCCGCCTCATGAAGGGCGTGTGCTGGGCCACCGGGGGCAGCAAGCTTACAAGCCTCTACTTCAGAAATACACATGCCACAGTAAAGCAAGCGACTATGTCATCTAGATAAAGGTAGACAGAGAAATAGGCAAACAGCCATAAAAAATAGTCCTAATCCTTGAAGAAGCTAGTAAAGGTTTCTGTGAAATGACAGATGGCTCTAACACCACCCTCATCACTAAATCAAAGCATGAGGTAAATAAACTGAAAATTTACCCCTCATTTTGAAATATTAAAACCTACAAACCTTTCCTAATGAACATATTGCTGAAAGTACAGCCCCTTTGGGAAGAACCTGCATTTCCAGTCATTAGCTCCAAACCTGGGCAGGTCAAATCTGGCATCGATAGTTCACATTCACGTATCTGTCCATGAATTTGCATGAATATAAAACCTACCTATGCACATTAATAAAATGGGTCCAACTGCACAATTTCATAAATTAACATCATACTCCATTATATGTGATACACCTCATTATATGCCACAACGCATTAGTCATTAACTTCATATAATTTGCCTTTCAGGTGGAGGGCCCTTGACGCTAGTTCCCAGCATAGAACTGTGTCCGCCCGGCTTTGGGCCCGGCAGGACTTACCTGTGATCTGCGTATGACGACAGAGGCGTGACTCCCCTGCGCGAGCCACTTTGCTCTGCTGGATATCTTCATCCCGGTCCCAGCCAGATTAATGCTGAACTGCCCCTGGGTTGTAAACAAAAGCAAAATAAAAACAGACAAGATTCATAAAATATTTAAGAACGCTCTTGGCTAGAAACACCTGAATTTGAATTATATAAGAAATGGATCCAATTGCTTTTCAAAGGTCTTCCTTTATAAAATGAAAAAATAGTGATACGACCTTCCTCTAAAGAAAATGAACCAGCTAAAGGTTTCAAAATTGATTACAAATAAGTCTTCTAATTAAAAGAGACATCTGAATTAATGCCACATCATGTTATCTGTGCAAAAGCAACTCTGTCAAATCCTCGGACTCTAAGACATGACAACTGGAGCTGATATTCCTGTAGCGGCAGGCAGTTCCCAATGGGAGTGCTCACTGGGACTAATGCCCAACAACTGTAACATTTCCCGTTTCAGTTTTTGACCCCTTGTTGCTAACTTCCTGGATAAGTTACACCTGTGCAATGTATCTTCTAGAATCTTCTGTTACTGTACCCTTCCCTTGTGTAGTAAGAATATTGCTTCATAACCCACCACACACAACCACTGAACACAGTATTATTGCCCCAAATATTACATCTTTTTAAAGACCCAGAAATCATGTGTGTATATGATGCCCTATGTGAGCCACTTAGTGGCTTTATGATCAAATTCTTTTTAAGACGCAAGAACCGTTTTCATGCCAGAATATTTCAGGCTATTTTGTTAAAAATGAAACTTAAAATATCTGCTAGTTGAGAAAATGTGTGACTGAAATGGGAAAAATTTGTGTCGCATTTATATGATCTTACAGAACATAATAAGCATTTGAAAGGACAAGTACTTATTGCTAATTAAGCTACTGACAATGTTCACTATCTGCATAGACTAAGAGCAATGTTACGGCATTCTGAGATCACATCACAATAACCCCTAGGCTAAGACTCATGAATCTTGAGCAAGACTGATAAAACTTTGGGGGGTTATAACATGTGAAGGAAAATATTATCTTACCATGAAAGCAGAGGCTAAATAGACTGCAAATATATTTATAATATGAAATTTTATATCAGTTATATATCAACTTAGTTTATTAGATTTCTTAACAATCATATATATTTCTTATTTAAAATCAAAATAGAGATTTAAATATATTTATGATTCAATGGTAATATAGGGAGAATTTTCCCAATAACAGAAATCATTTCCTTTAGATAAATTCCAAAGCAAGTTTCTTATTCTATACCTCATTTGGTTTTGAAATTTGGAATATGGCCTGGATGTTTGCCACATTGTTGTATTCCCAGAGCCAGAAGAGGGCTAGGAACTCAATACGTCTGGAGGGGTGAATTAAGTGTAGCCTTGAACTTCAGCACTTTGAAAGTACATAAATATACATCTGAGCCCTTCACGCTCCATGCTAATGAATGACACCAACACGAAACAGTATTTTACACTGGCAAGTACTTGAATGAAAAGAACTAATTCTAAGGAGACACTCTACTGTTCAATACTTTGTCAAATCTAATACAGGTTTTGGACTAGATATTTGCATCCCACATTAATTCATAATAGGCTTCTCACCAAATACAACTCCTTAAAACTGGAAATGTATTCTGTGATGTCAGTTTCCCAGGGCCAGCCACTTCCTAAGAGGCCTTCCTGAGCCATACAACGTTTTCACAACATAAGATTCTACTCTTCTGTTCTTTACCTTCCTGCTCAGGGTTGCTTGGAAACCATACAAATGTGTATACACTGGAAGTGAAAGGAAAAATCTGACCGCTACTCTGTGACTCAGGTGGCCTAACACACTCAGCTGGGTCTAGAAATATCTATTGCTCCATTTCTCCAGAATAATTTTCAGGAGCTTTACTTAGGCCCTTAGTCCTCATTAAAAAGCAGTATAATACAATCTGAAAGAAATAGTGAAACAATTCCTCTGAAATTTGGGGTGATAATGATAGAGGTAAAAATACATTTGACTCGTTCAAAGTTAACTGAGTAGCAGACATTGTGTCAAGTGTCTGTGGGAGAACAGAGACGGGTCTCGCTCTGAACCCAGTAAGTGAAGAACAGACTGGTGGCTGTGGGGCGGGGGCAGGGGACGGGGTGGGTGAGGGTGCTCAGGAGACGCAGACCTCCAGTTAGAAGTAATTGCGGGATGCGATTTGCCGTTTGTGGACTACAGCTAACAATACTGTGTTGTATATTTGAATGTTGCTAAGAAAGTAGATCTTAAAAGTTCAGATCACAGAAATAAAGGTTCCTGCAACTATGTGAGGTGATGAGTGTTAAAACTGCAGTGACAGTTTTGCGATGCATACAAGTATCAAACTATTATGGTGTACCCTTAGGAATATTATGTGGTACACCTAATACAATGTTAAATGACAATTATATTTCAATAAAACTGGTGAAAAATAAATACATCTTGTAAGTGAAATAGCATATGTACATAAATAAATGTAAGGCCATGTAGAGAATTATAGGTGCCATGAAAACAGAACTAGTGACTCCTATGGGACTTCAGAAGTAGTAAATTATTGAATAAATAATTACATCAATTTCAATACTTCATCTAAGATTAAAATTTAAGCCTCCTCGAACCTAACCTTTAACTTGAAAAATTGCTTAAACATAGCTGCTGAAAGATGTTTTTAAAGTAGCATAAAGTTTATCTCCTCTTCTCCTCTCTTGACATTTTTTATAAAAGGCAACCATAAGAAGTAAAATTCTAACAGCAGAATCACACATAGAAGGTCACGTGATTCAAAAGACCCGGGAATTCAACTAATTGAAATGTCTGCCCTTGAGCCATTGACTCCATAAAAAAAAAAAGGTAGTTATGGATACAAAGTATTGCTCTATGAAAGACCCTTAAGAGAAAGAAGAAGAGAAAGAAAAGGTTCAGACCAGGAGAAAATATTTATGAATGTCATCTCCAACAAAGACTTGCAGCCAGAATATATAAAGAACTCTCAAAACTAAATAATAAGGAAACAAGCAACCCAATTTTTAAAATGTACCAAAGACTTGAACATATATGTCACCAAAGAGAATATACAGATAATATACAATTGTTAAACAGTTTGGCAGTTTCTTAAAAACTTGAACATACACATACCAGATGGCCCTACAATCCCACCGCTGGGTATTTATCCTAGAGAAAAAAAAATATCTGCGCACAGAAAAGCCTGTGCATATCAGTTCTACTCATAATATCCAAACCCTGTAAACAACCCCCGTTCTCCCAGTGGATGAATGACAAGTGTAGGACAACTGTCCACCCTCTGTACGGTGGCATGATTCTCGGCAGTAAAAAGGAACACACGCCTGCAACCACACAGACGGATCTCAAGGTGAAGGGAGCCAATGTCTAAAGGTTATATATTGTACGATTCTGTTTATAGGACATTTGTATGACATCCCAGAAAAGGGCAGAGCTCTAGCTACAGTGACAAACAGACGGGAGTTTTCCAGGAGTTAGAAGGGAGGGAGGCATGACTCCAGGAGGCAGCGAGAGGGGGGCTGTTCTGCATTCTGGTTGTGGGGATGGTAACATGAATCGATACCTCCGTTAAAACTGCTCGCAAAAAAAAGGCAACTTTACTAGATATCATTAAAAATTAAAGGTGAATGGGCATAAAACCTATTTAAAGAAAAAAATTTTCCAATTGGCTTGCAAACAAAACCCAACTACATGGTATATGTAGGAGACACACTGAAAAAAGAAAGGATTCATAGAGGCTAAAATTAAAAGGATGCACAGAAAATACACCAGGCAAATGAACATAAAGAGCAGAGGTAGCAATGCTGATAAGGGACAAAGTAGAATTCAGGTCTCATCAGGGAAACATGACCAAGAAGTGCTAAAAGCTGCAGTCCACAATGAAGACACCCCATGAATATTATGCATCAAATAACAATAACTTTTATGGAGCAAAAACTGCAGGGGTTATAAGGAGACACAGATATAAATGCTTTAATAATAAGAAATTCTTATTACCAGTTTTAGTAACAAGATAGATCAAGAGGGAAAAAATAAGGAGAGGATCTAAACAATATAATCAAAAGGGTATATTTTAAGATTGTATGTCAAACTCTACACCCTAATAATCAAGAATACATCTTCAAAATATTTAACAACCAGCTCTGAATACTCAAAATGGATGCTGGCCATGATCCACTGGTCCTGGCTGAATGTGGTGATTTCTCTTGCTTTTATGTAATCAATATTAATTACAAACAGTTAAAGAGATACACACTGGGGTTTTTTTCCCCCTAATTTTTTTGTGGCTCTGGAAAAGTACCATTTTACTTTAGTTCACTTTTGATGTATGTCTTCTAAAGCCACATCACACTCCTTAACTTCAACATACATTGCAACGTGGCAAAGTTTATTTTCCCTAAAGAGAGCCATATGTGTCCATTCTCTTTTTAGCATTCAAGTCCCAGGGTGCCCTGTCATATGCAAATACAGAGGATGTGGTTTCAATGAATCCCAAACAGAATAAGCTCTTTCTGTGACATCAAACATCTGGAGAGTATTCATGCAAATGTTGTATAACTTAACACAGAATCTGGTTTATATATTTGACAGAACATTTCTAAGAATACTGGGAAGTTTGTATTTTTGGTCACAGTAACTTCAGACAGCTCAAGAAGGGCTGACTATAAATGGTATAGCTCCTTTTGATAGCATATTCCTAGGTCCACTCATATCTAAGTTAGGAAATAGAGCTTTGCATTCCAGAGACGCCTGGAGACCCGTATGAGGGAGGCATCTCACCTTGATGGGCAGAGAGGAACATTTGATTACTGCACTGATTCTGCCTGTGACTATCAAGGATCTTGGGCAGGCTGTTGACATGGTCTGTCTCTGCAATGGTAAACTGGGATTACCCCACTTACAACTACACAGCTTCCTCAAGACACTGTAGGGAGAACACAGGGTTACATTGAAACTGGAGAAAAGGAGTTAGAAAGTAATGGAAATAGCTGTCTTAGCATTTAAAAATCTGACTGTGCTAACAGCTCTTAGTCAGATCCCATGTTCATTGAGAAATACTCTATTTATAATAATTTGCTTTCTGTGAAGATATTTCCTACAAGGCAAGTTCACTAATGAGATAAAAGGAGTTTTGATTCTACTTGGCAGTCATGTAACTTACATGCACATTAGTCTCCTGTCATTCCTGTTGATGTCTCACTAACCAGACCTTACTCAGCACGTAATGAAACTTCAACATGTAATGACAAGGACCAGATTCCCAGAACTTGGTGACATGTTCAAAGTAATGGCATCTGTGAGACCTTGTAGCTGGTGCCTCACATCTCTCTGTGGCATCCTCGATTCACTTCTCTTTGATCACATCAAGTACAGGACTGGAAGGCAGAGACCACAAGGAGGATGGATCGCTGAACAAAGCTGACCGGCCTTGACGTGGGTCAGCCGTTGAAGAACGGACAGTCTCCATTTAAGAGGGCCGAATGGAAGTGTTATAAAAAAATTCCACATGTGAGGGATTGTCGAGAGTGATGAAAGCTTTAGAGTACATATCCTCAACTTCAGAACAGAAGGCTGAGGAGATGAAGCAAGACTGTAGAAGGGGGTGATCCTCAGGGGAAGAACCGCCCTGGAAAGGGCGCTGCCTAGAAAATGTGGGTCCAAAGTCACCGTCTGGGAGGCAGACCAACCACGGGGAGACCAATACAAGTGAAAGAGGGAAGGAGAAGGACGGGCGGGAATAGAGATGGGCTAAGACCTAAGTGCGATTTCACTGGAGTCAGAACCAGCTAGAAACTCAATGGAGGGTCAGGGGAAGAGATGATCCAAGAGAGCCCAGCTAAAGCCGCCGCCACTCCAAAGGGAGCCGGGGGCTGTGTCACGCCCGGGCGACCCCTCGGAGCAGCGACATCGGGGACCGCACCCTACGGGGGAGACGGACGGCACTGGGACAGTCCAGCCAGGAAGCTAAACAAATAAGTAAGCAGGCAAACAACAAGTCCTAGAGGGGAGGGGAGATTTAGGGTCCAAAGTTGCTAAAATATATTACCTAAAATGCCCAATTTTCAACAAAAAATCATGAAACGTGCAAAGAAACTGAAAAGGATGACTCATATACAAAGGAAAAAGGCAACAGAAACCGCCTTTGAGAGGTTTCAGATGTCAAACTGAGCAGGTATAGACTTCAAAGCAACTACTGTAAATATGCTCAAACAACTAAAAAAAAGGTATATTAAAAAGTAAAGAATGATAATAATGTCTAACCAAAAAGAGAATATGAATAAAGAGGTACAAATTACAGTTTACAGAGAGCCAAAGAATAACTGTGGAGTTGAAAAGCACAATAACCAAAATAAAAAATTCAATAGAGGGTCTCAAACAGTAGCCTGGAGCTGGCAGAAGAGAGAATCAGCAAATGTGAAAAGATACCAGTAGTAATGATGCAATCTGAAGAAAAGAGTAAAAAATTAATAAAAAATGAACAGAGCTTCATAGAAAGAAGGGACACCATTAAATATACCAATGTCTGCATAATGGGAATACCAGAGAGGAGAAAAACACAGCTGAGAATATATTTGAATAAATAATGGCTAGAAACTTCCCAAATTTGGTGAAATGCATTAATATATACATCCCAGAAGCTCAATCAACTCCAAGTTGGGTAGACTTGAAGAGATCCAAACATGTCACAGCAAAGATGGTGACAGTCAAAGATGAAGAGAGAATCTGAAAGCACCGGAGAAACAAACACATGCACAGGAGCCCTGGTGAGACGAGCAGCCGGCTGCCGTTGCTGGTCGAGGAGCCAGAAGATGCTGGGGTGACATCCTTAAGTGCCAAAAGCAAAACTGTAAATCAAGAATTTTATAACAAGCAAACCAAGCTTTCAAGAATGAGAACAAAATAGACATTCCCAGATAAACAAAGTAGAGAGGATTTGTTACTGGTAGACGTCTCTTACGAGACATATTAAAGGCAGTTCTTCAGGCTGCAATCAAGGGATACCAGACATTAATATATAACGACACAATATAACCAAAAATTACTGGTAAAAGTAGGTGTGTAGGTATTTTTAAAAGACACTATAATTGCATATATCTTCTCCTTTCTTCTCTTAATTGATTTAAAAAACAATTGTATAAACCAGTAAGTGTATAATTGTATTATTGACCATATCGTACAGAAATGTAATATATTTGATAATAATGGTACAATTGAAGCAGTCAGAAGCAAAGCTGTTTTGGAGTAAAAAATGACACCAGCTGATAACTCCAATCCCCAGGAAGGAATGGAGAGAACCAGAAATGCTAAACAAAAATGTTCCTATAAAAAACTCTATGAATATGTAACTTCTCTCATCTTTCACATTCTCGAAAAGACATAAAAGTATCTAAAGTAATATTATAAATTTAAGCTCTGATAAATTAAGATGCTGTAAGCCCTAGAGCAATCATTAAGAAAGCAACTCAAAAATATACTGAGAAAGTTATTAAGGAAATTAAAATGTTACAACAGGAAACACTCACTGAATAAAGAAAAGTTGTAAAGAAGGATCAGAGCAACAACAATGTGACATACAGAGAACAAGAAGTAAAATGGCAACTATGAATCCAGACATAATAATAATATTGAACGATCTGATCAAAGAGACAGAAGAGCCACAGATATAAACAGATTCAAAATAAATTGGATGAAAACATATACAGCATGTACTATAAGCAAGCCGGGTGGCCATCCTCATATCACATAAATTAAGTTTAAAGCAAAAAAAAAGTTACTGTATTAAATAACTTCTTATGGTAATAAAGTAGTCAAAATATCAGGAAATTATGATAATTATAAACATATAATCATGTACAACCAAACCCCAAAGCAAATGGGTCAAATACAAAATAAACGAAACAATAAGACTGAAGGGAGAAATACACAATTCAAGACCTTCCTTTACCTTATAATGTGTATCCATTCATCCCCATAGACTGAACGGAAAGATTAGAAGAGATAAAGCGTCATGGAAATAGAAGTACGATGTGAACGACTTAAAATTCTTATTAACATCCTTCAAACAAATCTAAAACTGGCAAGGATTTTCCTTTGAAATTAAGTTCCCTCCAAAGTTTATTCCTTTGAAATAAAGTTCATGTAGAAGTTTGTGTTTTCTATTTGCTTATGTTTCTTGCAATACTCCGCTGAAGCAGAAGAAGGGAGGGAAACAGTGTCAGCTGTTGTCTTTCACAGCGAGGGAGAAATGGGCCATCAGAGCCGACGTACCTGCGGGCACCTGGCCGCACTGTAGCAATCCCCGGCTGTGGCGAACGGAACGGCTCTCCCAGATCGCGTCTGGGCAAACAGAAGGTCGGTAGCTAGAAAATGACAAGGGAAAGTCTTTAGCATTGACGCTTTGTATGTTTTCCACTATTCACTGCAAAACATACAGTCTTCATATTACGGTCTTAAATATCTTTATGTACCTAATTCAAAACTTTTTAGCAGAAAGCCTGCACAATCATAGCACATAACATAGATCAGGCTCTTCATAGGTATTTTTCCTTTAATACAAAATGTTCCTCCTAGATTGTCCTAAAAATTGGCAAGGTGCATCTGTCTCTAATACAGAAGTCTTAAAAACTAAATATATGCTTTAGGATATATTATATCATACTGAATATCTAAAATAAAGTGGGGTCAGGAGCAAAATTATGGAAGAAAAAACATTATCAAAAGGTAAATAAATCATGCCAAAGCAATGCATGAGCTTATAGACAGCACAGACATTATTACTTCACTGAGGAATTCAAACACACCCAGCTAAAAAGTGTGCTATTTTCTTTGAGTTCTTTTATTTTCACATTATATTATTATTTTACGCTTTCCAATCATACTTGTGCTAATATTGTTAGCAAAATTCCCTGACTGGCAATAATGCTGTAGGTTCTATATAAAGTATCACAAGGGAGTCACTGGATCAAAACCAGGTTGGAAGGAATCCTAAAGGTCAGCTCATCACCCAACTGTGTGTGTCTCCTCCCAACTCCATGGACAGTGAATTCTCATTGGTAGCCTAAAGGTGGCCACGGTAGGAATACAGACACCATGGAAACTGGCAAATGCTATGAATCAGGCTTTTTTTCTCTGGTTGTAAAATATTTACCCACAAACCACTGCTTACATGTGACACTTATGGGTCAGGCTGGGGTACAGCAGATACAGTTCAAACTATCCTTTGCTACTGTAGCCCCGTCATCACCCGGACGGCCCACAGATGGCTAACTGAACATGTCCCACGCTCCATGCGTCAGCTTTTCCTCCAAACTTACTCCCCCTGCTACAGTTTTCATCTCACTGAACTGTATCCTCAATCCACTGGTTACCTTAGAAATCATGCCAAATATTCCACATCCCTAATCCCCATATTCCTTCAGAAAACCCTATGGAATGAACCTCTTTAGAAGCTCTACTCTGAACCGTGCTCCTAATTAAGGTCTTATCACTTTCCGTCTGCATTATTCCATCAGCTTCCCAGTTACCTTCTGGATGTGACATGTTCTTCCTCTAGCCAAGTCAGTGCCCCCAGGCTTCTGCTTTTACCCCAGTGGTTGCCATGATTTATAAAGAAGAATTCAGTTGCACAGTTTAGTGCACATCGGTCATGGTCTACCCCCTGGGAGCTGCTCTAACAAGTGGCCACCCCCCACCAGGCATTCGGTTCATGCTTAGACAACACCGGACTGCTTTTGAGTCCCAGATGGAACCAAGAAGCTTCACCTTTCCACGTTTTCGTTTATGCACTTCCCGCTTCCTAAAACTTCTTTTCCCTAGTTTGGTTAATTCAGACTTGTCTTCAAGATCATGAGGAAAGTTGAAGACTTTTTATTCAATTAATATTTATTTATTTCTGGGAACTATTTTAAGTACTGTGAGAATACAACAGTGGATGAAACAGAGACTGGTGGAACCTGGTTATTGCCACACAACTGTGGGGAATGAAAAGATAAACCAGGGAGCTGAAAATATACACATTTATCATTGCATCCTCCCCCCAATGCCTGGCAAAATGGCAAATCTGCTAAGGAAGAACAGCTTCATAATCAGCAGATAAGTTACAGAGTGCCCACTGTGTACTAGCAATGCTAATTACCTGGCATGGCATAATTAAATAATAACCAGTATTTATAGAGTGCTTACTAATTAAAAGGCATTTGCGTAGTATATGCTAAGTATTATGCCTTAATCCTCACCAAAAAAGGGGGAGGGCAGAGAAGGAAAGAAAGAAAAGAAAAGAACTTGAGGGATGAGAGAACTTATGCCTAATGAGTTATGTCCAAGGTCATGTCACTGGTAAGGGATGCGAAGAATTTACACCCAGTCTTAACTCCAGAGTTTATGACTGTGGCCATTATACTCCACACTACAGTAATTGTGGGTGTTCAGTGAATGGTGGCCATTATTACTAACAATAACAGTTTACCATCACATGACTGTGACTTAGAGATTATGTATCCATGCATTCACAGTCTTAACAATAGTTTTTTGTTTCTTTTTTCTGGTTTATACACTGTGCTAGGCACTGGTGATTTAATGCTTCTGAAATGAGCTTTGCCTTTTCGTGTAGGTGTGTAACTTTCAGGATAACAGGCTGCATTAGGCTAGTGTATACTAAGTTCCATAAATGTGTTTTGACTTCACTATAAATTACTTCCTAAAAAGGCAGCAGGCCCATAATCTGGGATCTATGGGTGGGACTTTATCTCCCTGCAGTGCCAATTAATAACTATGAATTGGGACAAGGCATTTAACTTCAGTAAGTATATCTAATTTCATGTCTGGCAAGAATGTGCCGCAATTCAGCCTTTACTAATACAGAGTTGCTAAAAAGATCCAATGAGAAAGTTTATGGGAAAATATTTGACAAATTGTAATCCGAAACTAAGGTTAATTATTACTTTAAACCCTGCAGAAAGCTTGTACAACTACATTGAGGATATTCACTTCCTTATCCTTCTATCTTGGAATATATTCTCAGTGTCCTGAACAATACATTTTTGTTAGGGGTTCCCATGGTCAATGTCATTGCAGAGGGAGGTATATAGCTAAAAACTTGTAAAAACAAATTTAAGTAGTTCTTGCACAAAGCTTGTTCCTTTTCTATACCCTGGGTACCACATCTCCAGCATATTATTAGATTTTCCAGAGCAAACAGAGGATTTTCTGCACTTACTTTTAATCTGCATGGAAGTGAGATCAATTCTTATTTTGCTGAAAACAGTGTGTCCACCAGCCAGGTAGTCATTTTTACACTCGCAGTCTTGCCTCCCAGTTCCATTAAAGGGGCATTCGTATGGATTGTGTAGTCTGTAACAACACGAGAATAAGGTTGGTATGAGATACAGTTATTAGCCCATCATGGTAGCTCGATGGTGAACTTTGAAAGTGGGAAGGTAAAAGATACACTCTTCAATATTACAGTGTCAGCAAGTTAAATGAGAAAGAAGTGAAAATCACTCAAGGCTAAGACACAAAATTCTCAACAGGAATTTTGACAATGGCTTATGGAAAACGAATTAGTGGTATTTCTGCTAGCTTTTGCTACTGGAATTATTTTTATTTCTATGAAAATATGCACAGTCTTAAACACATCACTTTTCTGTTGTCCCACTGCTTACCCATAGCCATTCCCTCTGTGAGCGCATGTTAATACTCAAGTCTGTATTACTGAGCCGGTGTGGACGACATCTGGCCTAGGTCCTGACGTGTCCTGCTGCTCCTGAGTTACTTATTCCACTTGCAAGCTATTCAAGCCTCACTCTGAACTCTGAAGCTCCTACTTCTCCTGAAGGACCATGAAAGTGACCAGATAAGCCCCAACCCAGCTCATACCTAACACCATACACTTCAGAGAAGTTGTCCTCTTCACCTCTGACCAGTGATAGATATTCCTTGGGGTTCTCCAGCTGCATGCCGGCACAGTGGATCTAAAGGGGAAATGCAAACATCTAGACTAGCTTTTACCACAGTTAACGGTCAATGCGACAATCAAATAGGGGCTGTTCCCACAATACCTTTATTATCCGACCCTTAATGTTGACGTAATAGTCGCCATCCTTGGTGATATTGTTTTTCACTTGGATTTCTCTGCAGCTGCTGAGTGTTCTGGTTTATACACTGTGCTAGGCACTGGTGATTTAATGCTTCTGAAATGAGCTTTGCCTTTTCGTGTAGGTGTGTAACTTTCAGGATAACAGGCTGCATTAGGCTAGTGTATACTAAGTTCCATAAATGTGTTTTGACTTCACTATAAATTACTTCCTAAAAAGGCAGCAGGCCCATAATCTGGGATCTATGGGTGGGACTTTATCTCCCTGCAGTGCCAATTAATAACTATGAATTGGGACAAGGCATTTAACTTCAGTAAGTATATCTAATTTCATGTCTGGCAAGAATGTGCCGCAATTCAGCCTTTACTAATACAGAGTTGCTAAAAAGATCCAATGAGAAAGTTTATGGGAAAATATTTGACAAATTGTAATCCGAAACTAAGGTTAATTATTACTTTAAACCCTGCAGAAAGCTTGTACAACTACATTGAGGATATTCACTTCCTTATCCTTCTATCTTGGAATATATTCTCAGTGTCCTGAACAATACATTTTTGTTAGGGGTTCCCATGGTCAATGTCATTGCAGAGGGAGGTATATAGCTAAAAACTTGTAAAAACAAATTTAAGTAGTTCTTGCACAAAGCTTGTTCCTTTTCTATACCCTGGGTACCACATCTCCAGCATATTATTAGATTTTCCAGAGCAAACAGAGGATTTTCTGCACTTACTTTTAATCTGCATGGAAGTGAGATCAATTCTTATTTTGCTGAAAACAGTGTGTCCACCAGCCAGGTAGTCATTTTTACACTCGCAGTCTTGCCTCCCAGTTCCATTAAAGGGGCATTCGTATGGATTGTGTAGTCTGTAACAACACGAGAATAAGGTTGGTATGAGATACAGTTATTAGCCCATCATGGTAGCTCGATGGTGAACTTTGAAAGTGGGAAGGTAAAAGATACACTCTTCAATATTACAGTGTCAGCAAGTTAAATGAGAAAGAAGTGAAAATCACTCAAGGCTAAGACACAAAATTCTCAACAGGAATTTTGACAATGGCTTATGGAAAACGAATTAGTGGTATTTCTGCTAGCTTTTGCTACTGGAATTATTTTTATTTCTATGAAAATATGCACAGTCTTAAACACATCACTTTTCTGTTGTCCCACTGCTTACCCATAGCCATTCCCTCTGTGAGCACATGTTAATACTCAAGTCTGTATTACTGAGCCGGTGTGGACGACATCTGGCCTAGGTCCTGACGTGTCCTGCTGCTCCTGAGTTACTTATTCCACTTGCAAGCTATTCAAGCCTCACTCTGAACTCTGAAGCTCCTACTTCTCCTGAAGGACCATGAAAGTGACCAGATAAGCCCCAACCCAGCTCATACCTAACACCATACACTTCAGAGAAGTTGTCCTCTTCACCTCTGACCAGTGATAGATATTCCTTGGGGTTCTCCAGCTGCATGCCGGCACAGTGGATCTAAAGGGGAAATGCAAACATCTAGACTAGCTTTTACCACAGTTAACGGTCAATGCGACAATCAAATAGGGGCTGTTCCCACAATACCTTTATTATCCGACCCTTAATGTTGACGTAATAGTCGCCATCCTTGGTGATATTGTTTTTCACTTGGATTTCTCTGCAGCTGCTGAGTGTTTTACCTTCAAGGTCAAGTGAACACAACTTATCAACAATGGGCAAATTACAGACACAGCATAAATTCAATAACTCAGTCACACAAACATTGTTATACTCTAGAAAACTGGACACTTCATTCTGCAAAGCAGGTGACTGCTACCAATATTTATTTTCAAATTGTAAATAAAACCTCTCAGGAACACTTACGCAGTAGGTAGGTTTTTGAAGTTGAATACTTACAATCACTGACATAACATTTTTTTTGAGCATCTGGTTTTAAACGCCTCAAACATAAGTCGCTGGACCAGCCATTTTCAGCCACGCACTCTACTCTTCTCTCCATGACCCCAGTTCCACAAGTCACTGAGCACTGCAGGCAGAGTAAAATTGGAAGGCAAAGTATACAATGGTGAAGGAGGCCAGTAAGTCCAGATCTCCTGCTCTCGGACCAGGTCCTTTTGGAATAAACTGAGGCTCAATAGTGGCAGAACAACTGCAGATAAAAGCATCCCAGTCAGGCACAGGTGGAAGGAATCCTTAGGCACGAGCGTGAACCAATTATTTCTCAGTTACTGGCTTACCTGCATTTTTTTGTATAATTATAGCAACAGTATATTGTAAATTCTTGATGAACATCAATTAATTATGGTTATTAAGATTACTTTTGTCTCATTATTATATGCTAAGTGTGCAAAAAACTATTTGCTTTCTATCAATTAAATTGGAAGTGAAATGTAGGGCAAATAACTTTCATTGCTTATGTTAGACTTACTTACTTCTTCACTTAAACAATAAATATTTCTTAAGAATTTACTCAAAATGCAAACCACTGTGCAAAGCTCTCTGAGAAATAGAAATAAGGATTAGTTGTGGTCCCTGCTGACATGCAGATTATAGCAAGCCTAAAAAAAGGAGAGAGGATATTTCTACAAATAACTAATAGAGTGGTTTTTAGACAACAGGATTACAGGACAACTCTTGAGATCTAGCTGGACAGCTACCTCGTACTTACAAAGTCTCATTCAAAAGTTCTTAAACTCGTAATTAGATACTGACCTTGCTCCATTTCCCAACTTTCCAAGTGGCCATATGCAAACAGCTTCTGAAGTTGCACTTGTAAACCTGAGGAGAAGGCGGCACAGGGCATTCTCGATAGTTTACAGGCCAAAGCTCACGGAGCTTGTATTTCTCAGTCGACTGGATCCCAATGCAGTATGTAATCCTTTGTCGGTAACTGAAACCACAGTTTCCCGCACACTGAAAAACACACATTCATAAGGGGAGGAGAAGGTGCGTCACCAGGGCCTGCTACTTGCCAAGTGCCTCGTCTGTAGGGTGCTATGTCACCCTCACAAGAACCCTAGCCATTAGCCTCATTGACAGATGGGTAAACAAAGGCTCAGAGGCACTGGGTAACTTTCCCAGAGTTGTGCCAATAGGTGGAAAGCATCCACATTTCGACCAGATTGTCTGTGGTGCCTCTTCTTTTTTCCTGTTACGCTATGAAGAATAGCCTGACTGAATGAAACTGTATCTTCCAACAGGCACAGCTTTGAAGAAATGGAACATAGTAGGGCTTCTTATCTAAAATAAAGGACATTTATGAGCCTTAACTTACCAGTAACTCTATGTAAGGCAGCATGCATTTATCTTAATACATATAAGGTGATGTGTAATACTGTTTGACTAAAATAGGTAAGTGATTCTGACACACACTAAAGGTCCAGGCCAGAAGTGGGCAAACAGATTTCTGTTTCCAGAAAAAATGGAGCAATGGAGAATAAGTTATCTTCTACCCAGAAGCAATAAAAACACTTGAACATACAGAGAATCAAAGCCTAATTTGGCTACCCAGAAAACGAATTAAGATATGATATGAAGAAGAACTTCCAACATGAACATCCTCTGGAAGAGTCATTCCAGAAGATGATCATCAAAAAACTTCAACAAAGATCCTGGTGCTGTGGCAGTTGTAGCTGCATTCATCCCGCCAGTTCCTGGACTTGCCATTGGAATGAAGAAGGAGATATCTAAGCTGGCCTGTGCATACAGTAAAACAACAAATTTGACTGGATCTATATACTGTTGGAACTCAACCAAGAATTAGAAGTGCAAGTTGCAGCGCTCCAAAATTGTACGACTATAGGTCTATAGTAGAATATAGATTTCTACTGTTAAAAGAACATATGGGATGTGAATGGTTCCCAGGAATGTGTTGTTTTAATTTGTCTGATTTTTCTCAAACTATTCAAATTCAGTTAGACAATATCCATCATATCATTGACAAGTTTTCACAAATGCCTAGGGTGCCTAACTGGTTTTCTTGGTTTCTCTGGAGATGGCTGGTAATTGTAGGTCTGCTTTGGTTATGTAACTGTATTCCTATTATGTTAATGTGTGTGTGCAATTTAATTAGTAGTTTAAAACCTATACATGCTTAAGTTACTCTACAAGAAGATATGTCAAAGAAATAACCAATCTTCCCATGTTTTCTTCCGTCTGCTAC